CAGATCACCTCTGAATTTTAGTTTAGAACTGGGGACATCTAAGAGAAACTAGTTGGTAGACCGGAGTGTTCTTACTGGAGTATAGATGTTAAGAAGATCCCATAAATATGGCAGGGCCACACCTTTTAAAACTATAAATTAAAGCAATACACTCTTAAAATCCATCCGGAAGTGGTCAGGAAGCCAGTGGAGACAAGCCAAGATGGGATTATGTGTTCATGTTTTCTAGTTGCTGTTAAAATATGAGATGCGGCATTTTGGATGGTTCATAAGTGATGTAAGGATGATTTATCTATGCCAACATACAAAACATCACAATGATCCAAATCAGAGGTAATAAGAGCGTGAATAACCTTTTCAAGGTCTCTGAAAAGGAGATATGACCTCTTTGGTAGTGAGTCTTGGTTGGAAGAAACAGGGTTTCACAACTGAATTTATCTGGTTGTCTAACTTAAAAGCACTATTGAAAGTAACCCCCAGACACTGTAGATGCTGTATGAAGCCAAGGGGCCAAGAGTGTCAGGAGCAGTACAAAGATGATGAAGCTTCAGTTTTATTTTCATTTAAATTAAGATAATTTTGTTTCAACCAGACTTTAATATAATTTAGACAAGAGTGATTCCAGAGTGACCCTGTCAAACTTAATATCCTCAGCAAAGCAATGGAAAGGAATGTTATATTTATTTTCTAAAAATGGGCCCCAAAGGCAACATGTAAAAAACAAAAAGTTGTGGACCTAAAATAGACCCTTGAGGGACTCCACAAGTCAGAGGAGCTGCATATGAAGAACATTCCCTTAAATGAACAGAAAAACTACTGTTAGTCTGACATAATAAACCAGAATGAAACTGTCTTCGATACCGACCACCTGCTTAAGCCATGACAACAAGTTGTTCTGGTCCACAGCATCAAAGGCAGCAGAAAAGGTCTAAAACCACTAAAACAGAGCTTCCTGAATCAATGATTACAAGAAGATAATTAAAAACTCTTAAAATGGCTGTATCTGTGATGTGGCCTGATTTAAAACCTGACTGGAATTGCTCACCAATGTTGTTGTACAAATATACATTGTTTATTGAAATATTCACAAACATTATAAAATGAAAAAAAAAAACATTAAAAAAATTAAAACCATTAAAAAATGAAAAAAAAAAAAAAAACACTGAAATGCTCTTACTCTGAAGAGTTTGCACAGCGAAAGCAACACAAATAAAAATTTTATTTTATTTTTTTCTGACCATAATTTTAGAATAGCATGTTTTGACATGTGCTGTAGCAGCATGTTTTATAACGGTTTTTATCAAAAGGAAATCCTGAACAACACGTTCTTACAAGCAAAAAGCTGTCCAGGCAACAGGAATAAAATAACAAAAAATAAAAATAAATGCCAGGTTCTGATCATATATTATATGTTGTTTTTTTATTGATAAACGCTAGCATTGGTTGTCTGGACATGCATACTCTCTCTCTATCTAACAGACACACACACACACACACTCATACAAATATTAAGAAGAAGAAAGTAATAAGTGTTGGCATCATTGTATGTACCAATACAAGGACAAAATTAGTTCTCTGCATTTAACCCATCACAAGTGAGACACGCCCAGGTGGAGCAGTGAGCAGCTATGTAAGCACCTGGGGAACAGTAAGGGATTGGGTGTCTTGCTCAAGGACACCTATGACATGTGGACATGGCAGGGAGTTGAACCTGTGACTTTCTGGTCCCAAGTCGAATGCCCTACCTCTACACCACAGTGGCCCCTAATAATAAATAAATTATTAAAAATATTAAATACAAATGTTAACTTTGTGGAAAATAAAATTACAGTGTCACTTAGGGAACTGTATTGTTAATAGCATCAATATTTTGAAATGTCTATGCACTTTTATAAAACTTTTTTTTTTTTTTTTTCAATAATGTACTGCTGACAACAGAAATATTCAAATATCTGTTTGGGATTTGAAAGTTGTCTTTGGCTTTCGATACAAGTAGTGACTTTAATTACGCCTCACATAATGTACATGTTGTTTTTTTATCATATTTGTTTTGTTTTATGACTTTATTCCATTTAATATATGACTTTCTTTTATGTTCCTTTCTTGTCTGTACTACCTGCAAAACTTTTTTTTTTTTTTTTTTTTTGGTCAAATTCAGTTGATTTTCAATATGATTTATATATTAAAAAAAAGTGATATTGACATTGCCATTAAAGTGATCACTCTTGTCCAATGTGAAAAGGGACATATTAGTTTGTTTTATCGCACAGTAAAATCATATGCTATGTATATTAGAAAGTGGAAGCTGAATGCTGATATTGAACTGAAGCAGTAATGTGACATATTTAACAATAGTTTATCAATTATACCCTGACACTAACAATTAGAAGCAAAGGCAAGCATTAAATGCAGCTTGAATCAGAACCCAGTCGCTCACTTTAATATGGAACAGATTAAAATACAAACACACATACTTATTTCAAAGTTGTCACACATAAACTTGCTTAACATTTCTACATGATATTCCTTAGAAATAAACTTGTTTGTCTACACTTTCAGGGACTGCCCTGAAGATAGCAGATGAAGCCTTTGGCAGAGGTGTATTTATTTAGGACTGACATTTGTCTTCCCAAATGCAAGCAGCAGAGACTTCAGTTCTCCCACAGCGCAGCCATGAGCATACGATTAAAAATGAATTTTCCGAAGGTGAGCAAAAAGAGTTTGATGGTTTTCCATATGGGTACCTTCATATCAAGGCCTCTTGGGATGCTCAGCATGTATATTCATAAGAGGTGGGCAAAAAGGGAGGGAAAGAAGTTTTAAGAGAACCAGCTGGTTGCCTTCAGCTTCTCGTTGGTGACCTCAATTTCTCCTGCTCCAGTGTATTTTATATGTCCATATGAAACTAAGTAACCTGAAGTCTACTTGTCCCTGAGCAAAGTTAGGAAGGGAATTGGTGTAATATGCTGTAGAATGAAACATGCTATAATGCAATGAAAAACTGTTTTTTTTTTTTCTTAGGTTTTTTTCTTTTTCTTTTACAACTAAGAATGCAATTTGCTGTAAGTTTTTAAAAGCATCGACATATTGACTGCATTGAAAAGTTTGTTTTCAAACTGCACATTTTTATACAATGCAACAAACAACGCCAGTGAGAGGAATTAAAAACGTATTGATTCTATGTAACCAGATGAAGGACATCTGACAAAAAGTAAGATAACAGGATTTTTTTTTTGTTTTCTTATAGAAACAAAGACTGTACAGAAACCAAACCCTGGAAGTTGCAAGAACAAAGTGTAGATCAAGGCCAAATGTGAAAATATTAATCAATTTTCAAATTCTCTCAATCTAAAAGTAATCAGTAATGTGTGTCATGCCTGAAACAATTGAACAGTCATTATCACATTGTGTAGTCAAAAAAAAAAGAAAGATCTGCTTCATTTGTTTAGAACCTAGACACCAAAGGTCATAAAGATGACAGGTGATCACATTACATTTTTTATGGATGCACTATAGATTTACAACACAAGGACTTACCAATGTACGTGAAAGCAAAATCTTTATGTCAATGCTTTTTTTTTTTTCAGTTAATGCTGACTCAAGCATCTCTCAGATGATATTTTGTATTTTGATTGAATATGCCATAGACCGGACCTCTTGACCTTCTCTACCATTTAACTAGATAGACAGTTCATGTGAACTCAGTGGCCCCAGAGCAATCCTAAACACTTGAAACAAAATCAAAGCAGTAGAATAGTCTGATTTCACAGACCAATAATTTATTCAGTCCTTGGAAAATGGGATATATTCATATTTAACTTTTTTTTTTTGGCCCTGAGTTAAAAGGACAATTTTCATAATTGATAAGAAGCTACAACTTCCTTTCACCTTATCCTCACACAGAGACCAACCCCAGCATGAGTTTCACTGTCTTACAGGTCAGGAAAGGTTTTAGTTTCTGCTTGACGGCTGCTATTGTTGTGCCAAGACTGCAGTCAAGGCAAGGCAAACACTACTTATCACAAAAGCCAGGTGTCCATAACAGCTTGGTGTATTTGCAAAAAAAAAAAAAAAAAGTATGAAACCACAAAACCTTGTGTACAACACAACACCTGGTACTGCTGCCCTGCTGTGTTCCTCGCCTGCTCCGACAGCAAGGACGATGAGAAATCTCCCTGACACCTAAGTTCAACTTCCACCCATCAATTATCTTTACCCACTTATTCCATTTTGGGTCACGGGGGTCGCTGGTGCCCATGTCCAGCAATCACTGTGCGAGGGGCAGGGTACACCCTGGACAGGTCGCAAGTCCATCACAGGGCCACATAGAGACAAACAACCTAAAGACAAACAACCATTCACTTTCTCATTCACACCTAGGGACAATTTAGAGTTACCAATCAGCCTAACATGCATATTTTTGGTCTGTGGGAGGAAACCGAAGCACCCGGAGAAAACCCACACATGCACGGAGAGAACATGCAAACTCCACCCAGAAAGGCCCCTGGACTGGGGTTTGAACCAAGGACCTGCTCGCTGAGAGGCAGCAGCTCTACCAGTTGTGCCACCGTGCTGCCCTAAGTTCAACTTGAAAAGCTTAAAAGAACCAACCTAAACAGCATGAAGTATATTTTCTACATCAGCCATCTTGCAATAGAAATGATATATAATAAAGAATGGGACAAAGTTGTTCTGAACTGTGTGGCATTGGTTTGTGGGGGAGGAAAAAAATCTATATTCTAGCTTAAATTCACTTTGCTGAATTTGGAATAACTCAAAGTACATTAACAAGTAATGAAAGTTGCTTCATTTGTTAAACCTGCATATTTTACAAAGTCAATAATAATTTAAAGAATGAAATGATAAAGTGCAATATTAATCATCTTTACAAAATAGTTTTATAAGATTATTTGCTATAATATTGAGAGTATTTAACAATCAGTGCATTCTAAACCCACAACAACAAGAATGAGTATGTATGTGAAAGCATTATTTCTTACCTCGACAGTGAACTCCTTCATCGTACCCATCCTCACAGTCTTTAGCCCCGTTGCAGAGTTTGTTGAAATGAATACATTTTTTTGTCCCAATACATTGTATGTGATTAAGGGGACATCTGATCACCACCTCCTGCGAGCCTATAAAAGAAAAACATGAGCACATTAAAAATGTATATACATGTATATTTTTTTTTCAAGAAAATAAAACTAAAATTAGCATATATTTTCTTCAAGTACATTCATTAAAATTTACATTAGGATATGTCAACCAAAATGTCAGGTGTGTTTTTTGACAGCATTCTTTTTTTTGTATGTGAGTGTTTTATTCATAGTGATGATACTTCAAGACCTCTTTTATATGATGATGAATTTATGCTCATGTAAATATATGTATATTTCACAGCATTGTTCTTTACACACAGCAGATGTTTGCCACACCGCTTTGCAGCCACGTTGGTGAAATCCTACAATAAACTACCTGACTCCAACTGCCAGCTGGGCAAACAGCGAGGAGCAGCTGCTTAAGGATTCTTGAGACACTTAGATAAGTGACCCTCATTCAAGTGGCAGCCCCAAGAGCACATAAAACACCACTGACCAGTACATGAGCACAGTAAATGTGTCACATTCCCACCTTAATTACGCTGATATCACTTACCACTGTTTCATCACAAGCGCTTAATAGGAAGATTTATTACCCATGTGATGGGATTTGAGACAATCCCCAAAGTTCTTCCACCCATAAGGACTTGCATATTAGTACACTTGGATTATACTGGCAATTACTTATTTGCAACGTCCACTTTTATCTTGGGAGGCAAGGGGTGCCATAATTAATGTAGCTTTTACAAAGAAAGGGGTCAGCTTGAAAAGAGATTTTCTAAAGAATATGTGGGAAAGAAGACATATGTCTGAAATGACTCTATGACAGATATCAGCCTCCATTTTAAGCTGTATATTGCTGCCAATGATAGCTTTTACCTTCCAATACTTGAACATTTATACCACCTTTAGCTATTTGAAAGTTTAATGGTTTATGTTTCTTACATGTGCAAGCTGATACTAACAACTTATAGATTCCAAAACATATTTAAAACAGCAAGCAAATTACTTTTTAGTGTTTGGGGAAAACCATACCTTAGACTTTAAATCTAAAAGTGTTATACATGGATTGGAATTTACAGAGCAGGATAAGAGTACATGTGCTATTTTATCTGCAATTAAAAAGTGTATCATTGACACCTTCCTGAACACTCATTGCACAAACACAAAAATCCTCAGGACACTGTGCCCCTCAGACGTTTTTGTTGGAGGAAAAAATTGTCTCAACTTACTCAAAAAGAATCACACTTGACGACAGAAGATTTTTAACTAGCATTTTACTTGCAAGGACTCATTCCAGACAGATTACATGCATAGATACATAACGCATGGAACATGTCACAGACTGAGTTCACTGCAGACTTGTATACAGCAGCAGAGTCCAGTGGGCATTCCCTCATAGCCAGCTGCAGTCAGACGCATAAACAAGATCCATGGCCGTCGGCGAGTTGGCCTCCAGATGGAGATAAGAGAATGTTTTGGGCATGTTCTCTTGGCATCAACGCTACTGAGGCACTGCGAGTCGGCGAGCTGGCCTTCAGGCCGAAACAAGAGAATGTTTTGGGCATGTATTACAGAAGCAAGAGGGAAAGATGTTCTCAGCCATCTCAGCCATAATATAAAAAAAAAATATATTCATACCAAAAATGCTCCATCATATTTGACATATAGATTTGTAAAGTCCAAAGTGTTGATGTTATTATTCAATTCAATTTCAATTCAGTTTCACTTCAGTTTATTTATATAGCACCAAGTCACAACAGAAGTAACCACAGGGCACTGAACAGAAACTTCCACATACATAAAACGTACAGGTAAGTTAACATTATTTAACTGAGGAGCAGACTGCTTGAGTTTAACTTCATGGCAGACTCTCATCTTGAGCAAGCATTCTTATCATTATTTTTATTGTTTTTTTTTTTGTTTTTTTTTTCATATTATTTTTATAGTAGTAGCAGAAATAGTAGTAATAGTAATAGTAGTAACAAAGTACATGCTCAATAATCCAGGTATACAATCCAACATTTTTCAGTCAGGTCATCTGGATAGTTTCTTTTTAATAATAATAATAATAAAAAAAAAGAAACTGTCCTAATGACCTGACTGAAAAATGTTGGATTGAATGCCTGAATTATTGAGCATGGACTTAGTTGTTTTCAACCAGTTTGACACGACTGTCAGCAAGGAAGAGGGCTGGCAATGGAGGAGGGGGTGTGACAAAGAGACCATCTTAGCACCAACATAACTGGTTTGTTCCACTTTGGAGTAAACTGTTGGGGGAAGAATCAGTTTTGTTGTGTATTTCCTTGACTGATGAAGCCTTCCGGATCGAAGGCGAAACGTTTCAGCACAAAAAAAAAAGAAACTGTCCAGATGACCTGACTGAAAAATGTTGGAGTAATAGCAGTAGTAATAGTATTAGTAGTAGAAGCAGAAGCAGCAGCAGCAGTAGTAGTAGCAGTAATAGAAGCAGCAGTAGTAGTAGTAGTTGTTGTTCTAGAAGTAGCAATAATAGTTGTAGCAGCAGCATCAGTAGTAGTAGTAGTAGTTATAGCAGTAGTAGTAATAATAGTAGTAGTAGTAGTAGTAGTAGTAGTAGTAGTAGTAATAATAGAAGACGAAGCAGTAATAGTAGAAGTAGTAGTAGAAGAAGCAGTAATAGTAGTAGTAGCAGTAGTAGCAGTTGTAGCAGTATTAGTAGTAGTAGTAGTAGTAGTAGTAGTAGTAGTAGTAGTAGAATCAGTAGTAGTATTTAGTAGTATAGTTCTTTTTTTATTATTAAAACATCAGTCAAGGTATAAAATAAGCATACAAAAGATAAAAGCTTCAACACATTCAACAGATTTTGAACTTCCAAAAAGTAAGACAAAGCAAAAAAAATAAATAAATAAATAAAAGCAAAAACCAAAAAAATATATATATAAAAAAAGAAAAAGAAAAGCACTGTCTACAGATCGCCCAACTCTCTTGCCACAGTGTCCATTTGGCAATTTTGTTTTTTAACACACAGCTCTAAGGATTTGTGACAAAGTAACAATGTTTTTTTTTTTTTTTTTTTTTGGTTTCTCACCACGAGTTCTAATCTAACGTGATAAGGGGAAGGTTGATGCATGAATATTCAGTGGAACTGATCTGTTATGCAGGGGTATACAGATGGTCTCCTAACAGCTGAGGTGAACAGAATTCTTCAGCAATGCTCCATACTACAGTACTGCATAGTATAGTTGCTCAAAGTCAAAGAGATAAGATAGTTTCTTTGTCCTTTTGTTTCCTATTTCAAGGTGCTAATGGCATTTAAACCATATTGTCTGTGTGCTGTTTCTCTACCAAGTTCACGAGGGTGGCTTTGTTCAAAATGTCTCCAGGTAAGTCACTAACCCCCCTACCGTCCTCAGAATGCCTAATGGTGTATGAGTGAAAAATAAAAATAAAAAATGTGGCATTTAGAGATCCATAAAATATGTAAATTAATACTATAAAGCACTTTGCAAAACCTCGATAGATTAAAAAGATGCTATATATTAGTGCAAGACTTCTTTTTTTTTTCCACTATAAGAGACATTTAGTTATTAAAAAAAAGTAAATGACCAAAAAAGTATTAGAAAAGTCAACATATCTTCTTTGAGACAATATAGCCAAGAAAAGCAAAAATATGTGCTCTGTTGTGTTCCTGGTTGAAATAAATGTCATTTCATATTGACATTCTGAAACGCAAGCAGTTAAGCCAATAAATATAGATTTGTTTGGGTGTCTGCATGCTTGTGTATCATTTCATTGCTGAAACGGATAATATACATTTTGGTTCACTGGCATGGGCGTTGAACGATGACATGTTTATGAGGTGACAGGATTTGTGACATTATGCGTCATATCACCAATAAAACCACAATCAAATAATTGTGTGGGGTGGAGGGTTGTGACTGGATCAAATACAAGCATAACATATTTTGACTAAATAATTAGTCACATATTTAGTAATAACACATCTTAAGTTTTATTGCTCTACATGGACTAGACCTGTTGCCTGTTTGCTGGGATAGTTTAAGATGGATGGATGCATGGATGGATGGATGGATGGATGGATGGATTTTCAACTAGACAAAAAAAAAATAGTTTATTGGCCTATCAATTTTTGACATGGGTGAAGTATGATAATATAGAATTTATGAAAATAAAGCATTTTATGTAAATAATTCACATTGCCTTAGGAACAATTTATTTTGTCTCATTTGTCTATCTCCATGTATCATTTTTATGATTTACACTTTTCAAAGCACACATGTTATTAATACATTTGCAAAGTATGTATTAGACAGTGAATCTGCACAGTAATCATCACAAAACAAACAAACAAACAAACAAAAAAACTGTCCTTAGATGATAAAAGTCCCATGATAACCCTTTGTTGGATTAGAGCTGAATTACATCATATTTTCTGCACATTTCATCAAAGTTCAGAGAAGACCAAGGATCTTGGCGTCATGCATGTGAAAAGATAGTCTCTTCTAGAGAACACAGGTTACTGTCCAGTAGTGTCACTTGTGTTTTTAGGCCTAGATTTAGAAGTCTCAGACAAAATGTAGTTTGTAGACCTCAGCTGTCTGGATGAAAAATCTGATTTTACAACTTCAGACAGTTGACACCAAACTCCCTCAAGCCTTCTTCAGAGAATTTTGTTGGTTGTTCAGAATTTCAGTGCAAAACCCTAGCAGAACTGCTTGTGCGGTACATATGAAATAGTCCAGAAAATATAGTAAAGATATGACACTAAAGAACACTTTGTATGTACAATACTCTAGAAATTAATTCATTAATTCATTCAACCTTTATGTATACAGGTTAATCTCACTGAAATATCATTGAGGTTGAGGAATGAGAAGGAAATAAGAAACAACTGATCATTCCCATCCTCAAATGAATAACATATAATTGTGTAGTAGGAAAATGCAACTTTATTTGTTCATTTATTTATTTATTCAATGTACATAATTTGAGCAAATGGTTTTGCCAGAAAACCTAAGAAAGACAACAAATTC